GAAACAAGCATCAGAAACATTCATTTAGGATATTTTAAATTAAAAGAACTGTAAAAAAATTAATTGGGGACGGAATATGAAATAAGGTGAACTGTTGCACAGAAGGATAGCATTTTATATGACTGTTAAAGGTGTGGAAACTCTTATTGTTTTTATCAAGTCATGCTACTGTGAAGAGAGAGCAAAAGGTAAATACAGTCACTGATCATTTTATTGTATTATTATTACTTTTTAAGAGATGGGTTTTAGGTTCCTTTTGTTTTTGGATTTTAAGAGGCGGGTATCTGCTTCAACCTTTACTTGGTAAAATTAAAAGGGATCAACCTTCAAGAAATGGGAAAAAAAGGATTTATGAATCCAACACCGTAACCAAATTCACTAATGTGTCCTTTTAAAGGGAGATCACACACAATACTGCTTAGGTCTAGCCCAATATAAATCTGTGTATCATCAAATGCTGTTAAATAGTACCACTGACAACTGAAATTTCAAGCAAAGTATTTCTATCTTGTCTGTGTAATAAATGAACTTTGCACAATCTATGCAAGCTACATGTGTCAGCACCAACACTTTCTCACATTGACTTCCATCTTTCCTTGGCCCACAAATACAATCTGGGGAAGGAAGTATCCTGTGCATAAGTGCTCCCCACGTCCAGATTGCATGCAATTGCACCCATATACTTTCTAACTTAATTCCAGGGTGAAGAAAACCCCCGGTAAGCATTAAATAAGAGGAGGAAGGAGAGAACAGGATACAAGACAACTGTGAAACGTGGTTGTACATAGCTGGTGCCTGGGACTGCAGACTGCTCAGGTGTTCTGCCAGGATCATGCAGTACTCAGATGCTCTGTTTCTATTATAAGCCTTCCTAATTGTCAGGGACTGCTTGGACACTGAGGAGTGGGCACCAGCAGGGAGGTTGGAGACTGACTTGGAAAGAGATCAGTGATCTGGGACAGCCTGTAATAGCCAGATCGAGAGTCAGAGGCAGGAGAAGCTGCAGGGTTGGAGAGGAAAGAACGGGTGCAGGAGGAAGACAGGTCAGGCTGGTGTAGGGGAAAGGACTTCCACACCTTCTCCTTCTGCCCTCACTTCTCCTGCTCCACTGTCTCCCAGAACCAGCAGAGGATTGAAGCAGGAGGAGCAGAAACAAGTTACATGAAGGCAGAGTCATTGCCTCTTTGCACACAGGTCGGGAGCAACAACTGCCTCTTCCAGTGCAGGCCTAGGAGTAGCTGAGAGATGCAGGACTGGTGGGCATGCCTTTTCCTAACTTTTATGTGTACATTTGACAATACAGAGTTAATTCATCGCTCTGGACATTGCTTGCCTGACAGGCCCATGACGCTGATTTTGTCAGAGAAGTGAATGGGTGCAACAGTGCAAGTTTGCTGAAAAATCGTAATAAAAGTGAATGGAGAATGAGAGAGAGGTGAAGCAGCAGTCACAAAGAGAGGAGAACACAAGATTCAATCGGCACCAACCAAGCAATATGCTGATACCTCCTTAACACACAATGTTGTGCACCACCATAGAATTCATGGGACGTTGTTTACTGTGCCCACTTTTGCACGAGTATCAGATACAGTGGTATCTCGGGTTAAGAACTTAATTTGTTCCGGAGGTCCGTTCTTAACCTGAAACTGTTCTTAACCTGAGGTACCACTTTAGCTAATGGGACCTCCCGCTGCTGCTGAACCGCCAGAGCACGATTTCTGTTCTCATCCTGAAGCAAAGTTCTTAACCCGAGGTACTATTTCTGGGTTAGTGGAGTCTGTAACCTGAAACATCTGTAACCTAAAGCATCTGTAACCCGAGGTACCACTGTACTACATTGTACAAAAAAAACCCAATACAGCAATTAAGCAAACGCATGTAAAGAGTTTTCCCTACACTGATACTTTCTCCACTTATCTGCATTAGGCGTGGCAATTTTTTGCCTTTAGTATAAATAAAGCACTTTACTGAAAAATGGGTAGACTTAAAAAGGTGGTTGGCAATATTATTCTCTTAAATCACATTTTACTAGACTGCTACTCAACTTGGGCTCATCAACTGATCAATTCAGCAGAGTATCCTGTCCAGGTGATAGGTGGTTAAGGCTGAATATGTGTTCAGTATCTCTGCGTGACTGCTGCACGAGCACAATTGGACACAGAAATCTGACACCCTGGGAATCAATACCAGCTTCTTTTATTCTTTTCAAAGAATCTGGTAGCTGAAAAAAAGCTTGGAAATATGTGATTGAAGTCTTGTGAAATCTATGTTATCTAAGGAGAGTCAGGACTTCCTGTGACCTAGGAACCTCCTTTTAGTGCCTGCCACAGCTCTTTGCTCCTATTTCTCGACACCTGCATCTACAAACCTAAATAGCCTCCATCCAATTAGCCCTCCCATTCTATTCTGTTACGGTCTTCCAAAATACAGTTCTCTTAGGAAAGCATGCAAAATCAGCATATGCACATCTGACTGGTGTAACAACGGAATTTGGATTTTGCTGACACACACAACGAACCCTGGAGATGGAAAATTCAGAGAGTGAGATTTATGATTTTAAAGGAATTAATTGAGGAGTTTCCAGAATATGCACATGTTCATTAGCACCTCTGGTAAGACCTTGTTTTTGCAAGTATGTCAACCTATAACATCGTATCTTGTACTTTTCACAACTAAAATTATTACACTGTAAAGACTTCAAAAAGAAGCAGTAGGTGCACCTACGCTGTGCCCTTCTGTGATATCGACATGACTGGATGATTTACAGCTAATGTTATAACATAAAGACAGCACAGAAATGGTGTCTTGTGTACTTTTCAGGCAAAAAAAAATGTGAATAGTATTACTGAAAGGTTATTGCCACTTTTTGCAGGATATTGTGAAGGAAATGTCAACATCATGCAAGTTATTTCTCCAAAAAGTATGTGTTCAGTGCTCTCCTACTAAGCACATTGCAGATCCAATGCAAACATTAATACTGATGACAAACAGAGACTCAAATCTGCTAATGATGACTGCATCCCAACTTTGATGAGTCTCCAATAAAGTGCATATCTTGTCATTTGATAGCAGCTAATTAGACACACTGTCTCCCTGAAGAGACAGAGACAAAACCATGAAAGCTATTTCGGATGTCAGAAAAGGATAAAGAGCTAGCCTAGTTTCTTTCAAACATACATGCAAGGAGATCGTGTTCAGGTACATAAGACACAAAAGATGATTAAGGGGAACGATGCAAGACAATTGATCAAATCTAAGCTTTTCTCAAAAATAAATTATGATCGTATCCTCTTTCCTTTTACATTCTACTGTATATTTCATAATACCTATTTTCCTCAAGCAAAATTATAGAGCTTAACACCATGCAGTCCTGCCAATCAGGATCCAGTTAGCTGAAATATATTTAACAGGATTTCAGATTATCCTGACACATTCAATGTACAGTTGCTTTCAGAGAGTATCTATAGTCCCCTAACTTCTCAAGTACCAGGTTATTTACTTCCAAGCACCATTCATTGATGGACAGAGAAAAAGAAATAATTTGTTTCCAAAAGAATTCACAACGTCCCATTCCTTCTGTCATTTCCATCATGAAGGATTCTAGCTGTATATCTGACTACATTCTCATATAAATATGAGCAGGAAGGTATTTTTAGGCAGCTGAGTTCTTAAAATGTTATTGAAATGAAGGCAACTTTATAACTGAACAGAAAAGCAGCTTTGCCAGAGTCTTTTTTTATATACCAAGCCAAAACAAGAGTTTAAGTGATTTTTTGGAGGGTTTGTGTATGGAACTCAACTTTTTTTGGAAGACACTTAGCTTTTTTTCTAAAAAAATTGATCTGTTAACTTAGTTTTGTTCAATTTGAAGGGCATGTATATAGAGATGTGATGGCCCAAAATAAAAAAAAACCTGAATTATATGTATTTTTCCTGTACTGAGATATGTTAGTTTCCCATCTACAAGAAAGTTTTGGGAAAGATAGAAAAAAAATATGCAGCATTTTCTTTCAGAATGAGGAAAATACTTTTTAAAAACCAGTTTTAAAGTAAAATCACTATGCAGTCAGTTCACAGTGTTGAAAATCTCTCAGACCAAGGTAGTAAATGTTAGTGATAAAAGCACTGCTGCTATGATCGGAAAAGCAACACACTAAGACTTAATTCAAAATTCACAGGAAATTGGTCCTTGTTTGAAGTCCATGAAGTTCCAATTGAAAGTTTATAGATTCAGAACCTATGGATCTTTCAGAGCAAAAAAACACAAGTTATGCTACTATCTGCAATTATATTTACTGAGATCATATGGGATATAAATAAAACAAGTAACTGTTCAGGAGAGATAATTTTCTCTGCAGTTCCAGTGAATGCTTCAGCTGTTCCTATGTATGTTTACTCAAAAGCAAATTCCACTGAATTCAGTGACGCTCAAGCCAATTAACAGAGAAATCTTAACCCTGCTCAGGTAGGAACAGGGCATGGCACAGAATTGACCAGAGTGGAAGACAGGATTTTAATTTTTAAGCTACTTTGCTAGCTGTGGCTCCCCCTTCCCTCTAGCAATATCCTGGTTTGGGCATCCTACGCTTGGTATCACCAGCAGAAACACCACTAGCATTAACTACTCAATCATCACCATTTCAGCAGCTAGGCCCATCCACTGGTGGAGCCTGGGCAGATGGGATACCTCCACCATATCATAATCCCTCTTACAGCACAGATCAGGGCTGTTAGAGCTGGTCTGTAACTTTGCATGGGTCTGGATTCCAAGTATAGTAACTGTTTAAGTATAAAAACCCTATATTATTAACAGACTATCCAAATGTAAAACCGCTATTATATTATAGGAACGTGTACTTCCAGAGCTTCTCTCTTAAAATATAGCATATTCTGTTTCCGCATGAAAATATTTAAGTTTACAATACTATTTTAAGCCCATGCTTTCCTTTGTTTACTACAATATTGAGGGCTTCAATACTGTATTTCATTTCATTTTTTCGTTATTTTTCCAAGTGAACATTGGCAAGGTACCTTCGACATGGAATTTTAAACTGCTGCACTCTAACCCTGGATAGATTTGCAATTATTGTTTAAATAAAATAAAGATGTTTATAACTTTAAATTTCATAAATAAACTAAACAGTACCAATATGTTCTAAAACATACTACATTTTGTGTTTTTAAAGAAGGAAAGTTTATGTTTGATAAGATAGTATGCTTATATATATATATATATTTCCATTTTTTACATAATTTCTGGAATTCTTTTTCTGGTGAGGAAAACACACCAGAATTCCACCCCTGCCCCCAGGATCCTTTAAAATGTCTTGAAATTGTTAGATCTCTCCATGGTCTCACACCAGTTTTTAACAGCTATTTTTTCCTTTGCAATTGCAGGCTCAGCTACTCTGTGTTGCTGTGATGTTGCTTTGCAAGCTTCTTTTACTGTGAAACCGAGGGACGACTGGATAAATTTACCAGGGAAGATCAGCAGATGCCAGATATACTGGGAATATTCAGTGATAGTTAAACTAGCAAACAAAACGGGTTACATTTATATATCCAGAGATATTACTTCCAGATATTCTCTACATATTCAGTAGCTCCTCCATTCAAAGACTTGCTCTGCTGGCAACACACTGATGTCAATAACAGAACCATATCACAAAAGGCACATTATGGCAGCACTGAAAGGATTTCATGCTTAGAATCCTAGGCAGATACCCCATTGCAGATGTTTAGGACTGGGGTCTCTGTTTCACAGAACCCAGATGCAGACAGGAACATAGGAAGCTGCCTTATACCAAAAGTCACATTATTGGTCCATCTAGCTCAGCACTGACAGCACAAACTGGAGTGGCTATGCAGGGTTTCAGACAAGACCTATCTGGAAATGTTAGGGATTGAACCTGGCACCTTCTGCAAGCAAAGCATGTGTTCTACCACTGAGCTGTGGCCCTTATCCAACTCAAGCAAACTATTACTTGTACAACCACTTTACCGGCTTGTTTTGGTAAAGCATAGGTATACTCAAGCCCAGCATTCTGACTGCTACATTGACCTGCAAATGTTATCTGGAAGAAGCCAATACATGCTCACATCTCTATACACCCCTCTCTAAGGTGCCAGGGAACTGTTTGTACTTAAACATCTATAATGCACCATTCCATTTGTGCAAGTAAAGAAGGCCTTTCTGATAAGGGACAATATTATACGTGGGCCTCCCCAAAAGCTTTCCCATAACAACATGGAAATTGAACAAAAGGAAACATATAAAATACAATGAACAAGAGCTATGTACAGAATTAACAGTATGCAACTTAAAGGCTGTACAGGAGAGATGGCGACGCAAAATGAAAAGCAAGAAAGAGCAAAGACATTTTACAGAATGGAAAGATCTGACCATACATTAAATGTAATTGCGAATTACTTCACAAATATCTGTACAACTGTACAGGAAAAACCTGAAGCTGCCACTTGGAAGTCTGTAGTGGATCTAAGCCAAGGCCAATTTCAGACTGTGATGAAAGGGAACACTGACGTAAAGAGAACCCGGGTGTGACCTCTCACATGCGACAGTGGCAAGTCAATCCTGAAGCTCTTTTCTCAGGATGGTCTGAAGAAACAAATCTAAGTTGGAATCCAAAGAGCTCTATGCAACCGCAGCAGATAGTGATTCTGCATCTACATGGAACGGTTGCTGTTTTTTTTCTTTCAGCTGCATGGGATGTTGCTCTCAATAAGTTTCTGGGAGCAGCCCTTTGTGGGGTGGGGGGCATAATGGGACAAAGAGGGCTCCAGCAGTAAGTAAAGTCAGGAATGCCATCCACTGCATCCTGGCCAAAAACAATTTATAGCTCTTTATCAATACAGTACCATACCATATTCCTTATGCCACCTTTACACACACAAAAGTGTGAGTTTATCTTACTTCCCTGCTAAATGGTACACTTTCTTCAGATTAGTCACTGCTACTTTTGATTTGACAAAGCAAAAGCAAAAAACAAAACCTTGAACTGCAACACAGTGTCTTTCTGAAGTGCAAATGAATCTGTGACAAAACAGCATTTTAAAAAAATTACTACCTGCTGGATTTATGGTCAGTGGTTTTAAAGTGCATCTGGTCATTATTTCAAGGACTGAAACCAAGTGCTAAATGATACTCTAACATATTTATGAAACTGCTGATTTCATCCCTCCCAAGTCAGCCACTCGTAAGTAATGGCACTCTACTCAGTATTAAAATTTCAAATTTAGTAATTGACTTTATTAATAGACTTACACAGTGCAGGACCGTCACAAGCTGCTCCTACTGCAAGGGCTTTAGAGGATGACAGCTGCCTGTCATCCTCTCCCATCAACTAAGCACTGATTTATGTGCCAGACCATCATTAAGCCCACACATGCTAGATAAAAGGAATTTGTACCCTGTTATGGCTCAACCCAAACTGACCAGAATCTCTCTCGTTGATGCCACATGATGCCATAAATTCAACTGGAATATGTGAATCTACGGGCCTACGCTATGAGAGAAAATACTGACCTGCTTGTTAATACGAAGTTTCAGGAGGCATTTAAAAAAGTGTCATAATGCCTTCAGTGACTTTAGGCACATGGCCAAGTCTGCCAGAACTGGCATGTTATCCAACTTTCAGCCAATGCAATAGGCACTATAAGAAGATGGCTACACTGTCTGAAAGCTGTTAACTACCATTGTAAAATGAAACAGTGTTATTCAATACTCTTTCTATCTTAAATTCCCTTTAAATAAGCACATGACATGAAGCATTCAGAAAAAATCTATCGATCTATAACATGTGGTGTAGCATTTAAAAATCAAAACAGAGCATTCATTTAAAAAAAAAACTTCAAAAAGGTGCAAATGATTTAACTAATGCTTTCCAGGCTCACATAGGCAGGTCAGTACTATTATGTCTAGTTTTTCTAGAAGTACCGTCGTCACGTGGCAGTGCTTTCTGCAAGCTTGACATAGCAGCTGTTCTTTCAATGTCTATCACAGCATACAGCTCTGTGCGCCTGGTTGGAGTCTGTGGAAGTGGCGTGGTAGGAGTTTTTGGAGTCTGAGGGTTGTCAGAGTCACTGCCACCTTCCAAATCAACCTGTATATAATTGAGCTGCCTGTGTTCTGAACTTGGTCGCCTAATATCAAAGTTAAAGACCGTTGGGGTACAGTCCCGGCGTCTTGCATATTCCACTTTGTGAGCACTTGATGGCACCGTCACATTCTCTGTATTGACATAATTATGCATGGGGTCTAAATTATTGTGATAGCCATTCAGAGACGGTGTCTTTGGTCCTAAACTGTCATCCTCCTCTTTACTTAGCTTGTGGGCTTCCCAAACTGGAGGCAAAGATGGCAGGTTTTCATAATTTAGCAATGCAGTTCTCCTCTGAGCGGAATTGTTGATATTCTGGGTATCAGAGGTACTGGATGATATCAGACGACCTCTCCTGAGTCCTGGGGCACCAGGGATAGACAACCTATTTACATTTTCATACGCTATTTTGTTACCAGAGGAAACTTCTTTGCGTTCGTCACTGTCGTACCCAGTGTCCCATTCATTGTTACTACTTGCGCTAGCTTGAGTACTGTTGGCACTAGTTTCAGTACTGTTTCCACCACCTTGAGTACTGTTCCCACTGGATTCAGTTTTTTCTTTTTCCATTAACTGCCTCTGGACAGGCGTTGGACCCAAAACAAATTTGACTCCTTCAGGTTCCAGTACAACCTGGGCATCTCTGTCATCTGGACAAGTTTCATCTTCCCTTGCCTTGCTTGTTTCTGCATTAGAAACCCTTCGCTCCAGAGGTGTACGCACACTTGGCCTGTTTTTTCTTTCCTCCTGTACACCTGTTGTATTCACATATGTATGGACCTGCAAAAGACAGAATAGCATGTCAGCTGTGGGGTCACATGGCTGCTTCACACATTGTCCAACTCCATTTTTCCTTATGACCACATTTTTCGGTCATATCCCAAAGGGGTAGGTACAAGGGAACATGAACTCAGTCCAGAAACCTGCTTCAGAGCAATTCTACCATAGAGAACAAGACTGGCAACGATTTCAATAGAGATTTATACTATCACAGCAATCATGAGAAAGCGGAAGAGAATTAAGACTGGGATATGACAACTGTGAAGTCAAACCCCAAATTACTTACTTGCTCCTCTGCTACAAGCAAGGGATGTGTTGACTCTTCGCCTACTGAAGGAAGACGGGCACTCCCTACGGAAGGGTGTCTGCTGGAGGGATGTGATGAAGCATCTCCATAGGAAGGATACCTTGGATACCCGTTGGGTAGACTCTGCCCACTCAACCCAGGTGCTGATTAAAAAGAAAATCCAGTTACCCTATTGTATTGAATGGCACTCTTTTATTATTTGCTGTAACAACCAATTAGCATGCATGGATGCTTGGGAAATAACAGCAGATGTGGGTGAATTCACCTGCAATATTCATCATCTGAAATCGATGAGGTCTAAGTCTTATGATGAATTTTAAGACCTTCAAATGAGAACATGGTAAATGAGCTCAAGTGTCATATTCAACACGCAGAAAAAATAAACTTACTGGTAGGTGTGCGGGGTGTTCTTGGAACGTCCATCTCTGTTTGATGTGGATTCCTTTCTACTACAGGCTCCTCAACCACATTTATACTATTATTCTGCATGATCTCTTGCAACATATTAAATAATTCTTCAGCACGAGCACACTTGAAGGCAAATATTCCTACAACAACATAGAATCTGTTAGATACCTTTAATGAATAAAGTAAGCTTCCAATAACAGGTGTTGTACAGTCCATTTAAGCACATACCTGTTAATAAAAAAAGACCTATCAAACTAAATTATGTTAAACCCCTTTTATATATATATTGAAAAGTTTTAAATTCCTCATGATCACAGATTTAAACAAAAGGTAAAGTGGATAAAGCAACAATAACCAGAGAGAGAAAATTCAGGAAACAAAACTTTATTGGTAAGCAGTAGTCCCTGAAAGAGCACGGTTTTGCTGCAGCAAAATTGTATTTCAGATTTTCTGCTCGATATTTGTAACAAAATCAATATAAAATTCCTATACAAAGAAGTAAGAAGGAACTGACAAAGGGTACAAGTTTATGTGAAGGTTAAGGGAAGAAGGAATATAAAACAGATTTGGGTGATACAGACAAAGCCAATTTGGTTTTGGTCTCAAGGATAGACACAGAAACAAAGTAGACAATACCATGGATTTTCCTCTAGTATTGTTCCACTTTGTCTTTTGACAGCAGAGGGAGCCCAACTTACCATCATCAGCAAAGAGAACCAGTGCAGTTGGCAGCTTTGGATTATTCTTCCATTGAAAGCATTAAGTTAAAGTTGACATTCTTGTTAACAAGTATGTGTTTTTGCTACTGCTGAGCTTTAGCTTATCTAACATATCAAAACTATTGCCCACTACTCTGTTTCAGCCAACACAATTAGGTGTGGTAGCAGATTGTAAAACCTGAAAATTTTAGTAAATTGGTTGTGTGTTAAGAGCAGGAGTACCTTGAGCACATTTCAAATATAGTAACAAAAAAGTTCTAGACAGTATCTAATTGTGTCATGCACACTCTCAAATATTCATGTATTTAGTCATCAACTAAATTTGGCATTATCTCCACAGTTGTCTACCACTTGCGCTCAACAATTCATTTATGCTATAAAACCTATTCAGAGAATGCTTCAGACTAAATGGACTGTGATCCACAGTGCTACAAAAAGTCCATATTTTTCCAAAGTAGCTGCTAAATAAAATAATGAATACACCAAAATTTGTCCACAACAGAAATGGAATCCTTTTCTTAATGGGCTTTGAGTACAATTAGTGGTTCACGGTCAATGTTAGCCATACTTAGAGTAGACCAGTGTTTCCAAAACTTGCGTCTCCAGCTGTTTTTGGACTACAACTCCCATCATCCCTAGCTAGCAGGACCTAGGTCAGGGACGTAGTCAGAAAACAGCTGGAGACCCAAGTCTGGGAAACACTGGAGTAGACCTACCAACATCAATAAAATTACTCAAGTCCATTTCAATGGTTCTGCTCTATGAAACACTGGAAGCTCTTGTATTTTATTACAACAGCTTATGAACTTTCTGTCTTCAGACAACTGACAATTCTTTCCCAACTGAACGTCTACTGACGAACCCTAAGCACTTGCCCTGAACATCTGCAGAGGCATGAACACAAGCCCTATAACTCATCCAACATTCTTCTGTGGTATAACTGGTACACAGTACACTCATCTAATTATATCCTTTAACATCTGTGAAACTGTGGGTTGTATCCAACCCAGTTGTCCAACTAACATAAGGACTTCCACCTGGCAATAAAACTTACTTTCCCTTTCCTCTCCCAAATCTGCTCCTGAGGGTTGGGGCAACCCCCAAACAGATTTGGAGCACACATGGGAAAAGGAGCTGGAGCTCCATTGCAAAATGCAGAAGCCCTGGCACTAAAAGGTAAACTTCAGTGGATACAAAGCATTGTTTTGAATATTGACTTTTGCATTTAGAAACATTTTTTAAAAATCAAATTCCTCTTTGTCCCTGCATTTTAGGAAATGACTGGCAAGTTATTGTATAAGAAAGCCTACCCACCATTACTGGTGCTCTCACTGAGGGACACCCAAAACACAGGTTTTACAGCAATGCTTTTGGTTAACTAACATATTAACCTGTTATATAGAAACAAGTTCCATTAATAAAACTTTCATCACAATCCTAAATATGCTTTATGGAACACAATACTACTTTGTGGGGGGGGGGGAGAATGTGACTTTTCCCAGTAGCAACCAATAGTGCCATCTGAACCTCATTAGGAATCAGGGGGCACATAAGAAAACAGCCATAACTGAACTGATTGAGAAGATGACATTCCCCACAGCAATTCTTTATGCCTGCTTCAAGAGAAGTTGATCTAAAAGTTGAATCTATGTACTTGTGACCATTTTCTGAATAGAGTATAAATGTAAGATTTGTGGCATTCCACTGTTATTTGGTAGATATCTTCTTTTTTATGGAGGTCTGCTTTGCATTTTCAGAATTATGGTTCAACTGATGCGACCTTTGAAAATGCTTTCATGGTCCACCAACTGGAGATGACATTGTGAAGCTGTAACTCATAATGTTTGGGTACCTTAAATACACTATTGGGAAATTAAATTGTTCTCCTTATGATTGCTATTAAATCGAGCAACACTTAACACCACAAATAAACACAGTCCCTCACACAGGTCGGAACACTGATGCTTACACAACAGGCTGGAGAGAAAAAGGATAATTTTTGGTAGTTACAGAAGACAAACTATATAAAGACACTTCATTCTGCCACATTTAGTAATACTTAATGAGGATTAAGTGGGGATCTAAAGCATTGTTAAACAGTTGTCTCCAAATACATATACTTGCTTTAACCAAGAATGGTTGAAGATTCTTCTGATAAATTTTACTACAAACAAACCAACCCATCATGATCAATAAAAATAGCACTGCACTTTTGAGGATTTACAAATGTTTCCAATTTATATCACTCATCCATACCAAAGTTTTAGGGCACAGGTTAGAGCTGAGATACGATTTACAAAAGGCAATTTATGTGAGTTCCAAAAATCAATCAAACCCACAAACAAGGCATGAAAGCAGCAACCCTCTCCTATTTCTCCCCAACAACTGAGCGTCTTTCAGTGTGGAGAAGAATAGCCAATGACACAACTAGCATCCACGAAGTAGTTCTTAAAAGCAATGTAAAACAATAGCCATCACCAAATATTATAGAATATGATTCTTGCTAGGATAAATGGGAAGGAAGATAATCATAAGCATCTTGGAGGAAAGGTGGGATATAAATGTAAGATCTAAAAATTAAGCACCTTCGAAGAGGGATATTGTAAAGAGCTTTTTGGAATTCCCAGGCATACCAAGCCAATTGGATTATCTACATATTTGCCAAAGCACATCAAAGCTTTGAGAGTACTTCCTTTTTCAGAAGCCATACTGATTCTTCCTCAAATATGTTCTTCTATGGATTGTATCCAATGGTGCCCATGCATGGACTTCTGCTCACAAAACGAGCCTCCACCTTCCACTCCTCCCACCAGAATACTCCCATTTGCTTCAGAGACTTCCCCAACCCTCTGGAGCAGATTTGGGGGGCACGAGGAGAGAGGAAATAAAAGTGAGGTCCTTTTGTGCAAAAATAAGTCTGCTTGTGCAATGCTGGCTTCCACCTAGCATGTTTAATAAGTCTAGGTTTAATTATGCCTTCAACCAATTTACTTGGGATAGAGGTTTGGCTAATAAGCCTGTAATTTCCTGGCTGTCCATTGGTTCCCTTTTTAAAATGTGTGGCATTGGCTTCCTTCCACTTCTCTAGCAGGGAGGCCCATTTTTAGTGGCAAGTTCTCTGCATATTATTTTTAGATCATCAGTAATATCACATCTGACCTCTTTAAGAGGGTTGTTCATTTTTTGTCAAGTTTCCATATCTTATCACCTCTATTTCCCTTCTAATCCCCCTTCCCAAAAAACCCTGATTCAGGTGTGGATATGTACTAAATAACCAAGAATGATATGAAACATCCATTAGCTTCTCTGCAATCTTGTTATACTCCTTCAGTTAACCTTCTGTCCAACTGCTTTCCTGTATGTTGATATTCTATTATTGTAAGTAGTTTTGGAGGCCCTGAGGCACAAAGGTAGGCTATTAATATTTTAAAATAAACAAGCAATTTATCCAGGTTTTTGGCATAAGTGCTGCAATATATTCAGTATGCAATTGACTGATCTCTGACATACATGATTGTAATCCAATATCTTCCACCACCAGCACCAGTACCCCCCCAACAAAAAACCCCAACAAAAACAACCCAGTTTGTGTGCTTGCGTGCTACAGGGGAAGTTGATTTAGAAAGTGAGGGGTATTTCAGAAGTATGGCAAGATGGTCAGCAGGTCAAAGTAAACTACCAGGCTAGTGCAATTTCCCTGAGTGAACCAAGTAGCTTTATTTTATACAAGTCAGCATATTCTCATAGACAGGTAAGATATGGGTCACTGCAGAGGTCTTACTAGCATATTGAAGTATTAAGTGATAATTGATCATTTTAAAGTTCCTACTTGGTGATCTGAATAAATCCTTTTCTGATTTCAGAAAGGTAGGAAGTACTAACCTGGATTTCATTAAAATGCAGAGGAGGTTTTTTGTCTTGTTTGTTTTAATTCAGACCAACTGTTGTTCAAAATACAGGTGTTTAGTGACTACTCTCCCTTTCTCTTTTCTAGGTCTTCTATAGGAACAAGCAAAAAGCTACTATACATACCTGGTCCAGTTTGGCATCGTCGACCACTTTCAAATGAGAAGAGATTGGAATCGTAGCCATAACGGCGCAGACAGAGGTAATGCCATTTGACAGAATCCCGTTTACGGGTATACAAGATTAGTTCTGTGTCTGTAAGTTCCATTATACCAGAACCCAACTCATTACCGTCATCATCCACATTAATAACCTATAAAATAAAATGGATACTATATATTTAAAGCAAACATTAATTTATTAAGCCACAGTCATGTACCTTACCTAACTCTACTGAACAAATATTTGATACAAATATTTAAAACTATAAAATAAATCTATGAAACTAACAAATAAACTTGGCTTCCTGATATATTACAGTTCAAATGTATTTTGTTTTCCTCTTAACATGGGGCCATGACTATGCAGGCCACATATATTTCCACCCTCGCTCTAGGCATTTCAAGACTGGCTATTAGTGGTGGTTAACTGTCTTTAGTTAATAATGCTAAGAGATGTGAAGACAGAAATCTAGGCTGTCTCTGTGGTAGTTAGACAAGAGTCAGATACTATATGAAATACAAATACTATGGCTTAATTTATTTTTGAACAACCTATCTACTTAAAAAGCAAGTCCACCAAGAGAGAAAGAAAAATCCAAACATTTCCAAATTGCCCTACTGATTTCACATTTTCTGTCCCTAACCTGCCACCACATAATCTGAATTCTGTGCCCATTAAAGGTGACAAAACCCTACCTTGAATTTGTTTCGATGGTTATCAGGGACTGCTTCTTTATCTGGACAGCTACAACAGCTACCCATGACTTCTTTAGAAGACCATGTGATTGCTAATACCAAAGTAAAAGAGAAAGCATTTCAAAAAGAGAAATGAAAACAAACATGCAAATGGCATATACATTGACTATATACCCAAACCATTAAAGAAAATTGGCAGAAGAAAGACAATTGTACATCAGTGGAGACAGACAGAATATAAGCATGTATTGTAGAAAACTACATTATAGGGTGAGCTCCAACATAGCATGAGTGAGTGCCCACTAGGGCAGTGGGATTGCCCGGTCCTCCTTCCCCCCCTCCAGGCTCCACATCCCCCCAAATCTGCTCCAGGAGTAAATTGGAAGTCCTGTTGCATTAGTTCATTTTATGCAAGTGAGTAGACATAACTGGATCTTACTCCCAATAAGATCCTGGAAGTCCTGCTCCTTGCCTTGCTGGTCTATTTCCACCAGGCTTGGGACCTCCAGCTACAAAAGTTGAGGCTGCTGAACAGACTTTTGGCCTGGGGATTTGTTTAGTATTTGTTGCTGTTACTGATATTATTTTTTTGTATTTCTTTTTAGATCTTATTATGATTTATGTGAATTGTTCGATTTGGTTGTGAACTTTTTGATGTGTTTTGTTTACTACATTTGTAATTATGTATTTATTTTCATGTTGCAAGCATGGTTTTTAACTATTCAGGTGGTGAAGAGAAACATCTGGCCAAAGGTACGTACACTTACCTAGATTTGGCCATTAATATTTCTAGCCTCTGGTACAGCATCAGTACTTCTGTCATACTTCAAAACATCATGTCGCCCTTCCACATAAATGAGTTACGACCTAAAAATCAAAGTTTTAAAAACAGTCTATTATAGGGGTTCAAGAAAGCTGTTTTGAATAAAAGTTGGTTCCGAAAGCAAAACAAATTAGATAAGTAATATTTGCAGAGAATAAGTGTGCACACATGTGCTGGCCATAACTCATTCTAAAAGGGGTAATTCATAAAAACACTATATTTTTTGCTGTTACAGTATTTTTACCACCATTCTGTTCTTTAACTGAAGATTGCTACTTAATCGACAAACACAAATAACACAAAAGACAGCACAAGATATTGCAAAGTTGTCTTCTGCTGGAGGGGGCGTGGATTAATTTTTACATTTACTTTTCAACAATTCCATCAGGTTTCTGGCTGACCACTTGCAATGTCTACTAGAAAAGCATCCAAGTAGCTAACTGAAGCAGCCAAATTATATACGTAGCTAGCACTGCATTGAAGGGAAAGGGGAGGTCGCATAAAGCTTCAGAACTGCTCTAAACATCTATCAACTCCTCTCTTCCAGTTTTGAGCTAGATTCACATACAGATTCTCTGAGTGTAATTGGGGACTGTTGCCTAGTCTTTTCCCGAAGCAAAGATCTTTCAGCTTCCTGCTTTCTCCTAGTATTTGTTCCCACTATCTTCTGAAAGTCAGCCTCTTACTATGCTTGTTCTGTATGTTGCTATCTTAGAAGAACTACGTCTTCAAAGAACATACTACACATTGGTGCAGTATTCTGTAGAAGTTCTTGTTCAAATGTGCAACTAGAGAACATCTCAGATGAGTCTCACATATAGCACTTGCAGTCACCACGTTGCAAAAGCAAATCAGGTCTGGTAAGTGACAAGAAACCATTGGTATGCTATCTTGGGCTCCATGGTGGAAGAAATGTGAGGAATAAATGTAAGAAAATTAATATTTAACCTCCCCCCCCCGTAAAAGGTCCTAATATGTACATCCTTTCCCATTAACACAACACAAGGTGGTAATGATGTAACAGGTCTACTTCTCTCAGAAGCAGAATATAATGCGCACACTTTAAAAAGAACAAATGCACCGACTACACGTTAACTTCCATTGCAATGTTACAAATATTCATTCTGTCAACATTACATATTTGGGGTGGGGCAAAAATATGATTCCATTAAATGAAAGCCTTTTGATAACTAAAAAAAATGGGTTAACATTGTGCAAATCCAGTGTAGGATCCAAAGCAATGGATTCAAATTTCAAGAAAGGAGATTCCAACTAAATATTTGGAAGAACTTTCTGATGGTAAGAGCTGATCGAGCATAGAACGGGCTATCTCAGAAAGTGGTGGACACTCGCTCTTTCAATATTTTAAAACAGAGGTTGGATGGCCATCTGTCAAATATTCTTTAGCTGATATTCCTCCATTGCAATGATTTGGCTATAGATGACCCTTGAGGTCCCTTCCAACTCTACAATTCTGTGATTCTCAGGTTCCTTTGATGCTATCCTCCAAAAGAGCTGAAAATATGTGTTGTGGTCACCAACAGTGGTTTACCAAAGCTCCATTCAACATTTTTGTCTCTGCTTCAGTGTCAAGTACTAAGCCCCACCCTTCATTTGTGCAATCTAGTCTGTTTCTATTTAAACAGATACTTGGGTCAGTTCTTTTCATGTTACGTAAATTAAAATCAAGTACTTCTGCTAAGGCTGTAGTAAACATAAATTAATTCAGCACAGATGGACCAAATTATCAAGATCAGAACCTGGCTCTTATTATACAGCCACTGTTATAAGAAGATTTTTTTTTCCACTCAAAAAGCTGTTTAATTATGTGTATTAAATAAAGCATTACTGTTTTCTAAAGTAAACATTCCCACTGGGCATTCCTTTCATCTTGCATAATTATATTGCATTGGGAAGACTCCATTTGTGTTCTCTAAGTTTACACACAGCTATTACTGCTTTTTTTATACAGCTCACACATCTGATCCACAACTCTAGAGCAGTGTTTCCCAACTAGGGGGGGCCACATGGCCCCTGGGGGCCCAGGATAATCCAAGGGGGCCACAGGTGAACATTATGTAAATGGGGGGCACAGGAGGGGGCTAGGAGGTCACAGAGGGAAGTGAGAAGAAAAGAAATATTTTTAAAAAAGAAATCCTGATTGGCTGGCTATCTGCTTTGGCCAATCACAAGCAGGTAAGGGAGCATCCCACCAGGAGGCAGCCTACCGTTTCTTTTTGCCACCTGCATTTTCTTGGTGCAGTCCTGGTTTGTTTCCAGCAAGAGAGGGTGATTGCTGAGGCTCCCAATTTGCCCACTGCTTGTAGCTGCCGCCAGCGCTGGGCCAGATGGCAGCCTGGGCCTGACTCTGCAAGGCGCGGGGTGTAATCCACCCCAGCGCCTAGCAGATCAGGGCCTTCAGATGTTGCCAAGGGGAACAGCAAAGAACCTGCACAAGCAACGCTGACACCAAACCCTACATATAGTAAGTAAAATAGAAACATCACCACCCAACCGCCCATCTCCCCTCCCACACACCTCTTTCTACGAGTAGGATGGGGTGGGGGGCACAGGAAGGAAACATTTGGAAGGGAACCATGGTCAGAAAAAAATGGGAAACACTGCTCTAGAGCACAGTCTTTCAAAACATCACAAACAGAAAAATATCTATGTCTCCTTTCTTTGTCTCCAGAGTCTTCTTAAGGGACTCACAAGAGGGTCCCATTTTCATTGCCAAACCTTACTTAAAGGTTTGGTGAAACAAACTGTTCAGCTTTATCTGTTGCAGAGCACACATAAATTATACAGTAACAATATGGGCAATAGTTACCATGGATTTAAAAAGCAAATGTTGCTTAATGTGAGTCAACCATTCAAAGAATATGCCTATGAAGTTTATCCTACGATAGGGTGCAAACATGTTAGTCTGATCCTTGGATAATCAAGTTCTTAACTTTGACTAATTCCTAGATTCATTCTTGCCTACTACAAATGCAGGGCAACAATATTTATTGTAATTGAAGAATACTATAATTGAAGAAAAGGCTGTGATTATTTATTTTGATAAACCTAAGCACAGATGATGGTAGAGAGCTGGCAACTGAATGATTGGTTGCATTATACTGGTATAGGAAGGTATCAATTTTAAAATGCTGGACCCTGAATGGCAGTTCTGCAATCAAAACGCCTATTTTTTCTTTTAGAAATATATATGGAGTGCCGTCCTATTCACTCAGAACAAAAATAATTTGCATTGTTATTGGAGGAAACAAATATCCAGTGGCTAAAAAGGGAGAAACAAATCATGGGCATACTTCCTGGTTCTAGTCACTGAAACTAGGAATACCTAAACTAACAGAAGTGTCTGATTTAAAGAAACCTGCTATCTTAAGCCAACTACATCTCACTAGATCAAAATCTAGCAGACAAGCAGTTAACCACCAATGCACTGAATACTGATTTTAAAGATTGTTTTGTTTCTCAGAGAGGGCCTGGCTCTTCAACCAAAACTTCCTCTTGTGGCTTATTTTGAGAGAAACAAGCCAGCATTCTGGCTTGTTTCATTCTGCCTTGGGAAAAGGAAGAGCAGGGCAAGAGCGATTTGTCCAGCAGCACCCTTGGTCATTCATGGCAAGCCATAGTTTGGCTTCCTGTAACATGTGAACCAAGCCACTTTTTCATTCAAAGGCTAAGAAGGAATGCAGGAATTGAAGAAACTTACAAAGATAGTATTAGATTTGCCAGTTTTTAAAGACCTTTTTTTAACTAGAAGAACTAGCAAAAACAAAAAAACAAGCACACACCACTTTAATCAGTCTAAAGTTTTAATATACAATAAGTGACTGTTATAATTTTCTTGTACCAGAATATAAAAGAAGATGCTTAAACGTACTGTATAATGAATAAACTGAGAAAAGTCAACAAAATAAGGTATTTACTAAGATTCAGACCGAAGTGCCAAAGCTGCCTGTTTTCAGAACATGAAAGAGAGACTACATTCAGTTTCAAACTTTATGAACACATTCCTCAAATACCAGTAATATTAAAGGTCTCAGAAGAGGCAAGACCTTTTCCCCCAACCTTAACATCACAGTTTAATCCTTGGAACAGCTGATTAAAAAATGCCTGTAATTTAGTTGAACTTGTCAGTTTGAGGAGAAAATCCAACATTCTGAAGGAGAAAAGCTGAAATCGTGAAACAGCTTTTACACTATTGATAAGTCTGAAACTTTTAGAAATCTCACTTCATGTTTGCTCCTTCAAATTCTAACATTTCTGCTGCAACAACATACATAATTCTTAAAATTGTTATTTAACTTATTTTCACAAGGCCTGCACCATTTCATCATTTGAAATATTCCTTTGGTTAATATGGGTTACAAACTTCCGATTAGAATCACAGAATTGTAGAGTTGGAAGGGACCATAAGGATCATCTAGTCCAACCCCCCAGTGTCCTTTCATATTGTCCAGCTTGAGTGCTATTATTTACAGGAGAACCCCTGTTAGGGTCTCCTACCCAATAAGATCGCTATGGTGGGGACTCATGGGTGGGCTTTATGGGTGTGATCCCATGCCTCTGCAATGACATTCCCTCTAAACCATGTCGTATCATGACATTGTTCTCATTTTATCATCGGGTGAATACACACATCAGCAGGGGGAGGGGGGCTTTGAGAGAAGGTTCGGCTATTGCCAATTCTTTTGTATGTAATTTATGTTGGCTTGTTTTAATATAGTTGATTGATTTTAGTTTTAATTTTGTGTATTTCCACCCTTGGACCTGCAGGTGAAGGGTGGTCTATAAACATGATAGATGATAGATAACTGCCTAGTCTATCTTTTTATCTCTATCTTTTGAATATATCATTTAGAAATAAAATAATTTAGGTAACAAAAAAGCCAGTAATATAAAAAATCCATATGACTAAATCTACAGTTCCTTTAGAGATAAGTGTTATCCGAAGATGGATTTGAATGTTCCTTGTCCCTGGGAAAGCCAAGTCATCAAAATCCAGAGGTTGGAGGTATCAATTATCTCTGCAGTTACAAACTGCGTGTCACATACAGCAGTGAGTCGCTCATCACTATTCCTCAAAATCACAAATGTACTGTTTTTCATAGTACACTCCAAGTGCTTTGGCTCCTACGAAAATGAAGTAATTGGAAGCCTCACACAAGCTTCAACAGAATTGTAAATTGCTACACACCGCCCACATAGCTTTGAGTGCTTGAGTGTGTGTGATTAGGAGGGCTGATGCATGATCACACCAAATTCCTTCCCTTAACTCACAGATCAAAAACTTGCCCTCTCAGCTACATTCTTCTTTAAACAGTCACTGTTACCCTGGTAACCCTATGCTGCTGACACAGGCAGCTGGTCCATTTAAAGTCAGCCCTAGCTGGCAACCAAAATGTTTGTTCAACCAGTTGGGAATAGTTTCTCTCAATTCCAGAGAAGTTGATGCTTTGTACTTTTCAACGCCACCCCCATTTAAATGTTTTCATTTTGACACCTTTTTTTTAAAATACAAACTTAAACTACTCTGATTATTTATACACTTTTTTATTCTTGGAAATACAAACTTACTGCAAAGCTTTAAAAACTTATGCTCAAATATAAGAGGGAAGGAGAAGGGAACCCATTTTAATTTTTTGAAGTACACATAGCGAAAGCAATCAGATTCTTTTGTCTTCCGCATAAACCTATAGTACAGATTGTTGTATATATGAATGGAAACCTTCTGCAGAAAAAATCTGAGTTCAAACTCCATTTCATGAATTTCTGATAGCCAAAAAATGTATTTTTCCTGAATCAAGATTATAGAAACACATTTCAGTTACTTTGTAAATTATCTCATAGAATACAATTTGTCTGCTTTGACTTTTACTGGTAAAAAGAAGGGGGAAATGCAGTCCAGATACTGAGGTCCTTTCTTAATAAAGATAGGAATGAAATTACAAATCCTCCAACTGTCCCTGCCAGACAAATACAGATAATGAGCCAACTTTATTTCAAGTGCTCAAAGATGTCCAGTTCTGCCCATTCACCCTCCCAGTTTTTACTGCACTCTAGGCTTTACTTGATTAGGTAAAAATCATTTCTTTTGTGACCACTTAATTTTATTGCTGAGATAATCAAAAGGTACAAGGCCATAGCATGGGCTAACACTCCATGGCTCTGAAAAGAAGGATGGCCAACTTCTTAAGTCTGTGAAGATCTCTCCATTAACAGTGGTAGAAACACTGGAGAAGATTTTAACAGGATTTTATGAGGTTAATATCAACTAAGCACTTGTGCGCCACCTGGAAAGCACACAATACAAATGCAAAGAACTTTACAACCTACAAGTAGGCATTGCCAAAGCATTCTGCTTTCTATTTACATGCTTTTTTGAATATGAAATGTCTTATGAGTATTTTTGGGGGGGGGGAACCTTCCCACACCTATCAAGAGGTAATCTTTATGCTGAGAGTTCTTATACTTTACAGTGCTAGCATACTAATCTTGACTGTCAAAGAAACCAATAATGAAAGCAAACAAGCAATAATCTCTACTGGGTGTGACTGAAACATGTAAACATCAGTACTGAGTCAAACAGGGTTTATTACTATTGCAGTACACAGAAAGTAGTAGTAGTAGCAGACTTAAAACTGGGCCTTATGCCATTTACAATAATGCACACACAAAAGCCAGTCACCTGTTTTTTCTTGTCTCCTGTTCCTAAATCTGGCTGTACATCAGGGAGATCCTCTCCTTCCATTCTGGCAACCATGCCATATCCAACTCAAATCATTCTTACTTGCTTTTCTTATTAGTTTACTGGCAGTCAATACATTTTTCTGTATCAAAAAATTAAATACACAAACTGTTCAGGAAAAAGTAATTGCAAGGACAGAATACGTGTCATTATGTTCCACTATCCATTGCATTTCTCTTGCAATTGAAATTGCTTTCATTGCTTTTCATACAGAGTTGTCTTAGGACATTGACACCTCAAGATAAAAGTAGTTTCCTGGTGGGGAGGGGAATATTCCTTGTTTGGATACTTCTAGAATCCAAAGAGATATTTAAGCTTAGGCTCTGTTGAACTGGATAGGAGGACTGGTGTGTCATCTAACAACAGTGTAAGATTCACAGAATTGGAAGCAGTTCTTTATTTTCACTGCTGGTGCCAGAATCCTCTCCTTGACAGAAATAGCATGCCAAAAGTACTTATTAAGGAGTAAGATAATCCAAGTCAGTTCCCATACAAATATTTTCTTGTAACCCCAAATTTTCTGGAAAGTATTGTTGGCCAAAAGCAGCCTCTACAGAAACTAGTGAGTTAACCTTGTTGGACTGTGATGACGCAAAAGTAGCTCCAACATGCTATCCTACTGCTTGTCCAGCACCTAGTACTACTTGGGAGAGACAAGGGGACTCTTCAAATACCTTGCAGACCTCCAATAAGCTTTCTTTTCCCTGTCTAGCCACAAAAGCATGCCAATTTTTGTTGTTTACATACAAAGCAGAATCCTGCCGGAAATCCCTAGTTCTACAGAAAAAGGTCCATTCTAATATCCCATCTGTGAAATTTCAAATTCTTTAAACAGGACACTGTGAAGGTACACTCACAGACTTTTGAACCCAGCTCCTGACAGTCATAAAATCATAGAGTTGTAAGGGACCCAAGGGCCATCTACTCCAACCCCCTGCAATGCATCTTCCTCTATATAGGTAAAGGTAAAGGGACCCCTGACCATTAGGTCCATTTGTGGCTGACTCTGGGGTTGCAGCGCTCATCTCGCCTTATTGGCCGAGGGAGCCGGCGTACAGCTTCCGGGTCATGTGGCCAGCATGACTAAGCCGCTTCTGGCGAACCAAAGCAGTGCACAGAAACGCCGTTTACCTTCCCGCCGGAGCAGTACCTATTTATCTACTTGCACTTTGACGTGCTTTTGAACTGCTAGGTTGGCAGGAGCAGGGACCAAGCAACGGGAGCTCACCCCATTGCGGGGATTCAAACTGCCGACCTTCTGATCGGCAAGTGATAGGCTCTGTGGTTTAACCCACAGCACCACCAGCGTCCTACTCCAATTAGAGATCAACAAAATTTGTGTTTGCCACCAGCTTTATGCCTCCCTGAAGGGAGAGACAGGGCACCTTCAGTGCCTCTGAAGTCCAGTGCGACTGAGTCTGAGCTGAAATGGGTAGACATGGAGGAACACTTGATATGACTGCAGCAAGCAACTTTTCTTTATTATCTCCACTCTATAGCTGCCTTTCTACATATAGCACCAAAGGTGGCTAATGGTAATAATAAAAATACAGTAAGTCCATTTTATAGTTAGTAGAGAACACAAATCAAAGCCACATCACACATAATAAGATGAGCTGTAGAACCTATTAAGGCAAGCTGCAAATTAAGAAGTCAAGTCAGCTGAACCGGCCTGTCTAGGTTGCTTTTTTAAGTCTTTGTCAAGACAGTGGAAGGGCACCTGAAATTGGCTAAGCAGCCTTCCTAGGGAAGGACTTCCAAGCTTTGGGCACAGCCACCAAAAAGGCACCAAGCCCTATTCACTAGGAGGTACTGTACATAATTACCAAAGACCTGGTTTTGCTCCCATGGTTCAAAGACAGCCATTGCCGCCATAAATGTCTCAATCTGTAATGGTCAGGAAAAGTGGGAGGGTGGGAAAATTGATGTTCACACTTGCCATAACACTTGCCACATCTCTGAGAAAAAACAGCATCTAGGCTCCAAGGAGAATGGAGTGTGTAGTTAAAAGGTATGAAGTCTGCCTATCAGCTGAGTGAATTACTCACCAGCAAGCAGTGCTTAGCTCCAACATTGAGAATGGAATACGTTCTGGAGAGGTAGAAAACTAACTGGCAACTCCCCTAAGGCAAGTTCTCACCCAACTGTCTTAATAATGGTTCAATTTGCTTGTGGTTTCCAAGATTGCCACCTGGTGAATCTTTAGGAAGCCAATTTTCAAATTATTAATGCTAGTGCAACAAAGTGGAGAATATACCAATAATTCATCTGAAAGGCATCACTTTTAATATTAAGATAAACTTGCTATACTTTTTAAAAATTGTTCATTTAGGGAATAGCAGCAATGCCATGAACTCAACATCAAATCAGCTATACTGTATATGGAAATGCTGATAAGTCTGCCTCTTACAGGTATTAAGGAAGCTGTTGTTCTGAATGTTTCATGAAACAATCATTTTATTCTTAGTTACTACTGATTTTTGTACACTGCTATGGGAGTCGTCTCTGCTAATGAGCAGGGTATAAATGCTTCAGATAAATACAATCTATTTTTATGCAATACAAAAGTTCACAAGAAAGAAAGAAAGAAAAGATGTTCATGTCTGAAAAATAACCAGAGTGGAGTACACAAGGCTTTAAACAGAACTTAAGATTGATCCCTTGCAATTTACTTTAGGTGAAAACTTTGCATCATTATTCCTAAACACATGACACAAAGTCAATCTGTTGAAACTAGTGGAACAAACTTCCACATACTGGGGGAGGTGGATTACAGTATTAGTAATTCCACACTGTACAAGCCTTTAGATCAGAGCTGGAAGAATGTTTCAGATTCTTAGACATGAGCCTCAGATTAAGGACTATTTCTGCACGTAAACACGTTTGAAGCTAACATTTATAAGGTATAATGTACTTTAAGAGTCTTACTAGGCTGTTCGTGGCCCAGAGCTAGCTAGGCTTTTGAATAGCCTTACTCTTTTTTACTTCCAGCCACTAGTAATGTTCCACATATTGCAGAATGATACTTTGAAATTTCAACTCTTTCAAGGCAAGCAGGCAAAGGTGGAAAGAGGCCATTAAGTTGCTGATCCAGAAATGCTTCTAAACCCTCAGCCTAGTGTAGGGGTTCCCAAACTGTGGTCGGCAGGCCACCAGTGATTCATGGGCTTCATTCAGGTGGCCCACAACATCTCTGTTAATAATTTGATACAATAGAAGAAATTAAAGAAGCAAGAAAATACAATAAAAAGCATACAGCATCTAGCAAAATGCACCGTGATTGCTACAGCAGGCAGAAATGTCATTAAATCATCCACGAAAACCCTTAGAGAGGTTAGGCTGGCCGCGGCTCCAATCTGGTGGAACGCTCTGTCACAAGAGACTAGGGCCCTGCAGGACCTGACATCCTTCCGCAGGGCCTGCAAGACATAGCTGTTCCACCAGGCCTTTGGTCAGGGCGCAGCCTGACCCCCTCCTCTGGCAATCGGCATTCTGCACGGAATTTTGCTTGATGGTTGCCATTAATCTGATTTTAATTTGATTTAATTAATTTTATAATGAATGTTTTTAGAATGTCGGACTATTTTGACTGTTGTTAGCCGCCCTGAGCCCAGCTTCGGCTGGGGAGGGCGGGATATAAATAAATTTTTTTATTATTATTATTATTAGCGATTTTCAAGTGGTCCATGGAGGGGAAGTTTGAGAACTACTAGTCTAGACTTTAGTATGTATAGCCTGCTGAGGAATCAGGCAACAGAACTAAAACAGTCGTCGTGTTATTGTGTGACACAAGAACATTAGAAAAAGTCTGCTGTTGGAGTTGTCTTAAAGCATTGCAATATCTAAACAGCAATTCTCTACACATGGCAGGGCAGTGGGCTTTTGCACCTCCAATATCCTATGCAATTGAGAAGTAAATGTAGTCACTATGCCCCACTGGGCATCATGTCACATCATGTCAAGTTAGAAAACTTATTCTCTTGTAGCTTGTTTGTTTTTAAACTTCCACCACTTTATTTTGAGTCAACTACGGTCCATCAGTCAACTAAGGCACAGTTCTTTTCCATATCAACAGTCCAAATTTCTTCTCACTCTGATCTTCTACATTTCATGAACACACACTTCATATACTGATTTCCTGCTTCCACCTATCCTTAAAGAGAAATACAGGGAAAAAATCCACCTTTGTCATTCATAGCTGACGCAGACTGATACGAGGCTGTTTGCAAACAATAATTAGGAGCAAAATCCCAAAACCTCCAACTCTGGCCCCAGCACATACTATCTGCCATGGAAATTCACCTTGCATCATTTCTAATTACTTATTCACTTGCTTTCTCAGTCACATTAACTATACAACTAGCGTATTAGGTACATCCACACCTCTACGGAGTACAGGGGTCTTTCTTTGGCTTATCTCTTTAAGCCACTGGTCATGCCAGGTGTGCAAAAGGTTAACTCTGTAACAGACATGCAAGAAACAATTTGTTTTGTACAAACAGTACTCTTAGGGTACATACAGTGAAGACAATTATGCACTATGCACTTTAAAAAAAAACCAGAATCTCCACACCAAGAAAAAAATGAACTAGGCATTCACTCTTAATGTTACACTTCTCCTGCATGTGTGTAATTTGCTAAACTCCTATTCTACATTACTTCTACAAATTTACGGTTTGGGATTTTTTTGTCTGTGCTACACATCTTTCATGATAAGGAGATGGTGTTAAGAGCAAGGGTGCTAACAACTGTGCAAAACAGTAATAAGTAACTTTGCATGGCACACAAGCTCACCCACCTAGCCCATTTAGGAGCAACGTAGCTTGTCACAAACAGCATCTGCAAGTGTTCAGATAGCTCTAAAATCAGGAGGAGGACTAGGAGGAGGAGGAGTCTTTTTAAAGATGAGATTCTCAGGACTGTGAATACACTGACATGAAGAAGACAAAGAGCTGTGCAGTTACTGTGAAGGTTGATAAACTTGTCTCTCATTGAGATTTTTCATATTAATGTAATGTACAGTATCTGTTTTGTAGGAAACCATGGCGAAGTCAA